AAAAGGTACAGTATGAGTGTTCAGAAGTATTAGTTATTAGTTCAGAAGTAACCATACAAGCACAAGGGCGAGGAGATAAGTAACTACGGGTAATCATAGGCGAGGAAGAACATCAAAAATCCGTCAGGCATATATATATATATATANGCACATTGACCCATGACCAGATGGCGTTATATACGCGTATATATATATATATGGGATATGAGAAAGGTTATGGCGTTATATACGCACCACCACCTGATCAGCTGGTATACATTGATGATTTGCCCATAGTGGCCGAGATGATATGATGTGATGACCTCAGAGGCTTGATGATGTTATGAACACATGTACCTATGCACGACATGACATTCATACACATATGCATGACACTATAAGTATTTCATGATTTATAGAGTTATCCAGACTTACAGGTTGAGTCATTTACTCTATATTTCTTCCATGTCTGTTATGTACTTATTTATGTCCCTTACATACTCGGTACATTATTCGTACTGACGTTCTTTTTGCCTGTGGACGCTGCGTATTCATGCCTGCAGGTCCCGATAGACAGGTCGAGAGCCCTCTAAGTAGGCTATCAGCTCAGTGGAAGATGTTGGTGCGCTCCATTTGCTTTGGAGTTGCTTGTTTGGTTAGTATGATTTAGACGTGTATTGTTTGATATGGCGGGACTCTGTCCCGACCTTTATGAAAATTATGTATTCTTAGAGGCTTGTAGACAAATGCCATGTACGTAAAAGATTGTTTGGCCTTGTCGGCCTATGTTCAGTACACGAGTGGTTATTTTGGTCTTATAGACCCGTACTTCATATGTATAAGTTTGTATTCCCTCATGCTTTACTCCGGTTCATTTACCTATGATAGGATGATATGAAAGATATATTACGTTGGTACTCGGTTGAGTAAGGTAGCGGGTGCCCGTCGCGGCCCATCGGTTTGGGTCGTGACAACCAATATGCCATTAATACCACATTTTTGCATTAAATGACTAAAAGTTACACTTTTAAGAATAAAAAGAAAAAAGAAAATATACCCTATCAATTGATGGAGAAGGAGATATTGGAGTTGAATAATTGTATATAAGTGTAATTATAGCTCGAAAAGGTTGCGACGGAAAAGGAGATTGTTTAGGAAATAATTAATTGCATTTTATATTGTTTTCTTTTCTGTTACCCTAAACAAGGATACTCCCTTATTTTTGGGTGTTTGTTTTTAGTTGGAGATTGCAGTATTAAGGGATACTTTCATAATCAGTTTCCTAATGTATAGAAAATCTACCGTATTTGAGGGTATAACTTTTATACATTTACCATGTTTATGTTGTAGAATATGTTATTTAATTAATAGTATTGTGAAATAGTTTTTGGTTTCATCAGTAATTATGAAAATTTTCCCATAAGAGAAATTTTCCAATAAATAAATGGGAGAAATGCCCCGGTAATTGTAGGTCTTAACAATGGGGTACAAACAACCATTCTTAGGGCTGCTGTATTTATTTTGTCCTAAAAATTAGAACTAAAATCTTGATTTTTGGAAAATTTAAAATATTTGTATCCTGAAAAATTAAACTCGAAAACTGAAATTTAAGACAAATTAACTAATTCTAAATAGCGGCCTTCTAGAGTGAGTGCCTAGTGTCATTTCTACCTTAACAATGGATACAAACTCCATTCAATCCATTTAAGCGCTTTTTTGGTGAGCCCAATTTTGGGGGTCCTTCCGCGGCCTTATTTTGACATTCGTCTTCTTTCAATTATTTCTTCTAGCTCTTTTACCGAAAACTACAGCATTATAATTCTTCAATCTTCCCTCGGTGTCCAGGCGCTATTGGAAATATACTTTATGCATGTTTTCTTGTTTTATGCAACTGCTTTAACAAAGATCTGTTAACATAAACTTGATGTTGAATTTCCTACTTGTTGCTTTTGTTATAAACTAGTTTTAGTGTACGTGTGTTGCACTTGTTCCTCATCTCAATGAGTAATTCTTTTTAGAAATTGTTACATAAATATTACATTAAATATTATATTTAAGTTATAAAATAAAAGTGTAAGCTCCTTAAGTTGATAAATATTGATCCTATATAACTAACTTAATAAAGGAAGAAAATTCTGCCTCATAGAAGTTGTCAATTATCATTCAATATATTCACCTTAAACTTTATTCCGGCTTTATAATTTTAGCAGTTCAATTTCACAAGTTATCATACTCCATTTTTATTTTCTGCACGAACATATAACCTTGAGGATCTAAGAGTTTTTCTAAAAATATTTTATGAAAGAGATTCTCAAGTTCATTCGATAAGACAAAAAACAAGATTATTTATATTTTTACTATAATTCTTCAAAAATTTGTAAAAATAACATAAACTAACAAATTAAATCTTATGTCTTCTCAATTGTTCTCCCCTTAGAGGTTACAAATATGTTATACCTCTATAGTGAGGTTTAAGTTAGGGATAATGAATAAAATCCTCCTTGAACTATACCCGAAGTTGCTAGGGCACACCTTACATTTGCGGGGTACTATTACCCCCNNTCCCCCCTAAACTTTTTTAAAGTGGAATAAATGTCACACTAAGTGCTGACGTAGCATAGAGAATCAAACATTTGGCAAGCGCTGAAATACACGCGCCGCCACATGTTTGTATTTTTAAATCTATTTCATTTTCTTCCTTTTTATTTTAATTCGAAATGTAATGGAAATATTATTTTGTATTTAGAAAAATAAAAAGGACAATTATTTTTGTATGAACTTGAAAAATTATAGGAGGTGTTAAGCATATTCGGAAGTTGTTGAAGTTTTAAAGTTGAGATTCAAGTACTAAGTTCATTCTAAATCCATAGTTATAGATGAGATTCGAAAATGAAAAAAGAATTTCGAATCCACCATTGTTAAACCTTGAAAAGACTTAAAGAATAAAAAAATGGGTTTGTCAAAATTCTTTGTTGTTGCCAAATTGATCACTGGGATATGATGATGATGTTGTGGTGAAGTTGTAGTTGAAATTTGAGCTTGATTGGTGCGGATTTAGCCGAATTTTTCTTGAACTTTGACACCAATGATTAGATTTGGAGCTCTTGAATGCGTGATAAAATGGGGATGAAGAGTTCTTGAAAATCAGCTTTGGAACTGGCACGTGGCCATTTCGTATAGGTTAGAGCCCTTTTTTTAAGTTCTCACGCGCTTGAAGGAGGTGTTCTCACGCAGTGCTCAACGTCAACAATAAAGGTGCAAAGAATACAAGGTATGTCGTCGCAACTTCTAGTATAGTTCGGGGAATTTTATGCATTATCCCTTTAAGTTATTAAAATAAAATAAAAAAAAGAAAATTTTATCTTTACATAACTTTAACAAAACATGTGTGGGCAAAAAGAAATACTGAAACATAAAATTTTAATAGGGCGACAAATTACTCAAAGAGTATAGTCACTTTATCGGTTTAATAATTAATAAAAATGTTATTGAATTTGCTAAGTGGGTGTATACATGTTACTTTAATACATTTTATTTTGTTATATAATTTATTTTAAATTTTTAAATATTAGGACTTCATACACAAATTGGGAAAAAAAATTAATGAGTAAAATTTTAATTAATTCTAAAATCCTAAATATTAATAATATACATTTTGGCTTGTACGGTTTTGTGTGATTAAATATGACTTGAATTGCATATGAATAATTTGTTTTGTATGATAAAAATAAAAGTCATATGTAGGAAAAATTAGCATTATTGAAAAAGAAATTTTAATAGGGCGACAAATTACTCAGTAAATATAGCTTCACCGATTTAATAATTAATGAAAAATTAATCGAATTTGCTAAGTGTGTGTATAAATATTAGTTTAATACATTGTTTTTTTACTAAAATTTATTTTAAATTCCTAATTATCAGGATTTCCTACATATTTCGATTAAGAAAAGATTTAATAAATAAATTTTTAATTAATTTTAAAGTCCTAAATATTAATAAACTATTAAAATTTTAATCTTATATAAAATCTATATTAAAGGATAAAAGTCAAATAACATTACATTTAGGAATTTCCTACTTTTCATAATATACATTTAGGCTTGTACGGTTTTATATGATCAAATATGACTTTAATTGTACATGAATTGTTTATTTGTACAATAAAATAAAAGTGTATTGTTTAGCATTGAGACAATGTTACGTGCTTTGTGTTTTGAACTAATTTTATGTCTTTTTTATGGTGATGAACTGATGATCTCATATAAACTATTTGCTGATCACGTTAAGCATTTTAAGTAATACATATATGAATTTATTTTCAATTAGTGTACTTTATATCAGGTAAAATATTGAGAGATTTAAACTCTTAAATAGTAGGACTTTCTACCTAGTTTAATAAGGAAAGATATTATAAGCAAAAATTTAGGTGATTCTAAGGTCCTAAATATTAGGAAGATATTTAAATTACTATTTTGTCCAATATATAAGAAATTTGTAAAGGGTAGAAAAGATGAACGATATTTCGCTAACGGCCTTCGTGCTTTTAATATGATATGGATAAATGTACAAGAGCAAGAATAAAGACAATTGGCAAGAATTAAGTGGAACGCTTTAATTTTGAACGGTGTGTTATGACTTATGAGATATAAAGATGGAAGTAGTTGGGAGATTGAAATTTGCATCATAATGTGTAAGTAGGCTTGTAATGAATATAGAGCCGCGCAGGTGTTAAAATGCAGTTCTGGTGGTTAGGTAGAGGTGCAATTCTCAGGATTGGTACTCCTACTTTCTCTTCTTTAGACTGGAGTATACCAGATACCAGTATCAAAGAAGTTGCAATTGTGATGCTACAGCGCTACACGAGCAGATAATTAGTTATGGATTCAAATTATATACACTTACAGCTAGCGTAATTAGCTTTTTACACAATCACAAATTTGACCTGGTATATAATGTTACAAAGTTATCCGCAATTACATTTTAAATGACATGGGGGGATATGCGTGTAATAAACAGGGAGATCAGTAGCAACCCACCACAATTTCCCAAAAAATGCTTTGTATTCAGGCAGAAGACAACTTTAATTTGCTGCAGAATATTAGACAGCTTCATAACTTGAAGTTATTACTCGATTGATCTAGCTAGCTAAACACACAAATAAACACATTATGTCGCAATGCAACGTACACTGAAAAGTATGCCTAAATAAAGGTAACTGGACAACCAGCAGAGTGTACACAACTGTAAAAGCCCCCAGACGCACAAACTAAAGTCAACACATACATGTAACTGAACTAAAAAAGAAACCATCAAGAAATTAATCCTCGGCCGCCAACTCAATTTTAGAAAATGGACATGGATCAAAAACTATAAGGAGATGGTAAGGAAATGTTCATCTACGACAACGAGTGATAGCAGAGCAACCTCTTGTGTAAGGGTGAGCTGGACCATGAGCACTAAAGCAGTGGTGAGTGTAGTATGACCTACCAGAGCGCGGCGGGCAAGGTATTCTGTTAGCAGACAACGCCCCATACGAAATGTAGTACTTGAAAGTCCTGTGCCAGAACAGGGATCTCCGGTTTTCTATTCCAAGTTCGCCTTCATATAAAGACATGGACATTGGCAACTCAAAATCCTCCTCATTCACCAGATCTAACCCATGTTTGTTCGCTTCTGCTTCGACGATAACTGCATTCTTGCTGATTCTGAAAAAGATGATTACCAAGTAAAGCAGGAATAGTTTTGGAGACTCCATAGTATATATTCAAGAATTATGGTTTTTTTGGTTGTTCTGGTTCTGGGCTCTTTTACCAAGCAAAAGAAGTTGGGTAAAGCGAAATGCAGAGAAATATGTGATTGGGAATACAGCTACTTAGAGGGGTGGTGGGGGTCTCTTTTTCTCTACCTTAATTATGGCCTGTATGTTTTGGTAAGGGTGCACCTACTGTTACCTCTTTCCATTTAATTCTCCCCGTGCCGGGGATGGTGTGTCTGTCTTAATGTTAGTAGTAGAGGTAGAGTATCTAACTTTTATTTTCCGCTAGTGGCTTAAATTTTAAGACGTACATCAATATCCATATAGCAAGCCACTAATTACATAAGAAAGATTAAATTATCAAAAGAAAGAAACTTTATTTCATTGTTTCTCAATATGATTGCAAGTAACCTAACGATGAAGCCTGGGTATACCAAATATGACATCATACACAAAATTTGAGTACAAAGTAAGAACTCGATCGGCAATTATCTGTTTATTTCGGCAATTCATAATTACAAATTACAATCGTCTTCCTTAAACGGTCTTATAAGACTGGTTTTCCCGGATTCTGTGAAGGCAAAAGTGCTCCTATTAATAATCTTACTCTATTGTAGTTGTTTAGGTTGAATAGACAATAGTTTAGCTGCTTAAGTATCATAAAGAATTGTAAGTAGGATATCTTTTTAAACTTTAGCAAAATTTGGCCGCTTTAAATGGTATCAATTTTTAGATTTGCAAAAACGTGCTTACTAGGGGAATCGCAGGGTCTAGCTCCATTGCCTGGCTAATAAACACGATAAACTGTAGTGTGTTTTCTTTTCTTGTTTGTTCCGCAACAGAGGGGGGTTCCAGTCACCAAATCCTGGTGCCACCCAATAAATATAAAATAATTATAAAATGCAAAAAAAGACAACAAAAAAAAACGTAAAAGAGTACACGCCCAGTGGGACTCGAACCCACAATCGCTTGATTAGAAGTCAAGCGCCTTATCCATTAGGCCATGGGCGCTCTTGTTTCACACCACTAAACAACTAATTTATTGACTGTAACTGAATATAAGTACCTACATTTCCTAATGCTGAATACTTGTCAAGATTAATACCTTCTACGTGAAGATAGAGTCAGGAACTTAAAGATATTTCTTACTTGGGCTCAGCCGCTCTATAGACAACTGAGTTGAAAGAGAGGAAACTCATGTGCGCAATACAACCAGTCCCTAAGAGCTCGTTTGGAAATACAAAATTTTTCTTTTTTTTCAATTTTTTTTTTTAAATTAATGTTTGTTTATCAAAATCTTACCCATTTTTCCAAATTTCAATTGAAAATGAATTTTTAAATTTGAAAAACTGGTTCTCACCAGTTTTTTAATTGAAAATGGGAATTTGCTAGTTTTTGTTTTACGAATTTTACACTATATTTTTAAAATTTATAAAATGATCCCATAAGTTATCAACCTACAACTACCCAAAGAAACACAAAACGCACAAGTCTTATTGCAGAGTGTCATCAGTGGCGGCCGCACGTGGTGGCAAGCGGGTTCAACTGAACCCTCTTCATCGAAAAATAATACTGTGTATGTATAAATTACGATTAAAGCTGCGTAAATTTTATATAAACATTTTATTTGAACCCACTTGACAACTATATTTTACGACTAAAATTATGTACTTCTAAGATTGAACCCGCTTGCACAAAATTCTGGGTCCGCCACTAAATGTGATATTCCAACATGGCGTTCTCTCATTAGCGCAATGATCTAAACTTTTTATTAATTCTGGTACTCTTTGTTTGCTGATAGAATCTTTATCACTTACTTTCCATGGGCATTAAACATGACACTTTTTATGCTGATCCATCTATTTATTTTAGTTATGCTTTTTTGTAGTATAACATGACAATTTATTCTTTTTAGTTAGGCTTTTTGTTTAAAAGATTGGGGTAGTTTTGATATTTTACAAGTTGTGGCGTATAAATCATGTTTCATGATTTTGAAAAAAGATATCCAAATATCTTGCAAAAATTATAACCAACCTGTTCCTCTCAAAGTTTTCTCTACTTAGTGCTTTAGTGAAAATGTCAGCAATTTGCTTATCAGTAGCACAAAATTCTATGGAGATCAATCCTTTCTCATAGTTATCTCTTAAGAAGTGGTGCCTAACATCTATGTGCTTAGTCCTCTTATGATGAACATGGTTCTTTGTCATACTTATAGCACTAGTGTTATCACAGAATATAGGAATGCAACCAACTTCAATGCCAAAATCTACCAGCTGCTGTTTGATCCATAGCAATTGAACACAACAAGAAGCAGCAGCAACATACTCAGCTTCAGCAGTAGATAAGGCCACTGAATTTTGCTTCTTAGTAGTTCATGACACAAGACATGAACCAAGGAAGTGTGCCATACCTGAGGTGCTCTTCCTATCCACTAGAAAACCTGCATAGTCAGCATCAGCATATCCTACTAGATTGAAATTACTACCTTTGGGGTACCAAAGGCACAGATTAGTGGTGCCTTTCAAATATCTTAGTATCCTCTTGACAGCAGTCAAGTGAGACTCTTTTGGATTTGCCTGAAAACGAGCACAAAGCCCTACACTGAAAACAATGTCAGGTCTACTGGCAGTAAGATACAAGAGTGAACCAATCATACCCCTATACAACTTTTGTTCAACTGATGAACTAGGTTCATCAATGTCTAATTTAGTGGCAGTTGCAATAGGTGTGTCTATTTCTTTTGATTCTTCCATTTTAAACTTTTTGATTAGCTCTTTTGCATACTTCTGCTGATGGATCATGGTTCCATTAGGACTTTGTTTGATCTGCAAGCCTAAGAAGAAGTTAAGCTCACCCATCATACTCATTTCAAACTCACTCCCCATTAGTTTTGCAAAGTCCTTACTTAGCTTATCAGTGGTGGCCCCAAAGATTATGTCATCAACATATATTTGTACCACAAGGAGATCATTACCTTTTTCCCTTAAGAATAAGGTACTATTAATTTTACCTCTTTTGTAACCATGTTCAAGCGAAATTTGGACAGTCGTTCATACCATGCTCTTGGGGACTGCTTGAGTCCATAGAGATCCTTGTCTAACTTGTACACATGCTCAGGACATTCCTTGCTCTCAAACCCTGGAGGTTGTTTCACAAACACTTCTTCTTTCAGGTAGCCATTCAGGAAGGCACTTTTGACATCCATCTGATGAAGAGTGAATTCCATATGTGCTGCAAAGGCTATGAGGAGTCTGATTGCCTCTAGTCTTGCAACTGGAGCAAAAATCTCACCATAATCTATGCCCTCCTCTTGGCTGTAGCCTTGGACCACCAGTCTTACCTTGTTTCTTATAATTGTTCCATCTTCATCAAGTTTGTTTCTAAAGACCCATTTTGTACCAATAACTGATCTATCCTTGGATGTTGGAACTAGATGCCAAACTTGACTTCTCTCAAACTGATTAAGTTTATCTTGCATTGCATTGACCCAATCTGCATCCTGCAAAGCCTCAACAATATTTTTAGGTTCAATAAGAGATAAAAAGGCATCAAAAGCACACAGATTCTTTAGTTGTGATCTAGTTTTGACTCCAGATGATGGATCAGTGATAATGTTCTCAATAGGATGAGAACTTTGATACTTGTGAGGTTTCACAACCAACTGGTTCCTACTAGATGCTTCTCCCATGTTCTGTTACTGAGGAACAGGGTCATGAACAGGTTCTTTTAGGGGATTTATTTCAATTCCTCATTGATTAGTTGCCCTGAATAGAAGAACCTGTTCCATCACCTGTTCCTTCTTTTGGTGCCACTTTGACTTGTGCTGAGGCTTCAGTCAAATCCTTTACCAATCCAATGGCTTTATCTTCATGTTCCATAACTGTGATTTTAACACGTTTTATGCCCATACTTGCCTATGCTTTATGTATGAATTGTCATAAAATAGACCCAGAATGCTTACAAAGTGCGCTTGATTGCAGGTTTGAGTGATAAGATGACAAAAGTCAAAAATCGGCTCGAAACGGAGTGAAACCTGCTCAAGTGTCAAAAATCATTAAAGTGGGGACAAGAGGACCTAGCGCGGACCACACTGATTTGCTGTGCGGCCGCGCTAGGAGATTCAGAGAGTATACATTTCAAGGGTAACCATGCGCGGTCCGCGCTCCTTTCTACGCGGTCAGCGCTTGTGTCCATGCGATCGCGCTTCATTGTTGCGCGGTCCGCGCCCATTAGCCTGCGCGGCCGCGCTACCTTCTTGCGTGATCCGTGTCCCCAGCTTTAGAAGTGAGTGATCGAAGACCAAGACCTCTACGCGGCCGTGCTGCATTTCTGCACGGTCCACACCAGCCCCGCAGGGGTATTTTTATCCAGTTTTTCTAGCCTAGTATAAATAGAATATTTTATTATTTTTAGGTCAAGAATTAGATATCAGATAGCAGTAGCACTCGCGAGACTCAAGTTTTAGCCTATTTTGGGCATTTTCATCTTGTTTTACCGTGGATTTTTGTAGACTAACATTCTAGTTAATTAATATGTTGATTTTATCTACTACTTCTTCAATTTCTGTTGCTATTATGTCTAGCTAAACCCATTAGCTAGGGTTGTGGCTCAACCCTAGTGTTAATGGGTGTGATTGTTTAATGCTTGAATGATGTTGGGTGTTTGCTATTTGGGTTAATTTTATGATTTAACTAGGATTTGGTGGTTGCAAACACTAAGTCTAGCTTAGTGGGTCTTGACTCTTCTTGAGAAAGAGTGTCTATGACTCCAAAATTAACCCAACAAGGAATTGGGATGGACCCATGAGAATGGTAGTCCCAATTAACGGGTTAAACCTCGAGAGAGTAATTACCCAACTTGAACCCTAAGTTGCTTGGGCTTGTTGGCCTACCCAATTGGTCTCGAGAGAGTCAATTGGGCAAAATCACTCTTTCTATCGAGAGGTGTGAGAGTGAGTGCAATCGTGCAACGGTTATAGCATAAGCCCCATAATCATCATTCTTGTATTAGGAATCTCTACCCGTTAGTTGACCACCTAGGTAAATGCCACGACCCTAGTGTCTTTCTCTATCTTGCATACAACCTAGAATTAATATCTTAGCATAATTTAGTTTTAATTAGCAGTTGTTAAATTGTAGTTGATAATCATAAAAACCCAAAAATGATAGAAGA